GAAAAACTAGGTCCGAGGGTGACAGGTTGCTTTGGCAACAGAGACTTCAGTAAGTGGAAGTAAAGAAAGGGGAAGTTTTAGTGCAGAGCTGCACAGACATATTAATAGACCAGACACAAAAAGCGGAACTAAGTAAACTGTGTGTTGGTGTGACATAGTGCAGAAATATACAGGGTGGGCCATTTATATGGATACACCGTAATAACACGGGAATGGTTGGTGATATTAAAGTCCTGTTTGTGGCACATTAGTATATGTGAGGGGGCAAACTCCTCAAGATGGGTGGTGACCATGGTGGCCATTTAGAAGTCGGCCATCTTGGATACAACGTCATCATCGTCACTGGATTAATGTGTAACCCCCGTTGTTGGAATCAAATTGTTAAATGTTGTCATTGTCTTTGTTCAAACTGTTTGATCAAAGACATTCCTTTGTTTGTGACACCCTCCCCAGCCAGTCTGTTGGTGGGGGAGGCTATAGTGTTTTATTATAGGGACATCCTATGTGAGGGTTCTGTTTTCTTGTCTAGTAAGCTCCCTGCCTTTATGACACTTTTGTGGGCAGGAGGTCACACAAAAGCACCCCCAAACACAAACACATACACTCACATGCACCTACACACACACACACACACACACACATGCACACACACATGCAGTGTTTTAACCTTCTGTGACCATGAGAATAAAAGGCTGCAAGGAAGGCTGTTTATTTATTTTATTTTAAGTTGGACAGGATTAAGTTGGATAAGCTACCTGATTTCCCCACCAGTTTTTACATTTTTTTAAGGAGGTATGGTTTGTCTGCCAGTTTTTTAAGGAGGTTTAAGGATGGTTTCACCACCGAAAGGAGGTTTCTTTCTCCGCCAATGAGGACGTAAAGTGTTTGGTTTTTGCACCAGTATGTAAGGAGTATAGAGCTCTCACTGGTGACCCTGCTTTAAGGGAGATCATAGGCCTATTTTTTGTGTGAACAAGTGCGGGCCAGACGTGGTCTTTGTGCGGCTGAAAGTTGCCTTGTTAAGTGTAAATGCTTTACTAGTCCCTAAGGACCCTAAGGACCCCAAAGCGCTTTACACATTTAGTCATCCACCCATTCACACACACATTCACACACTGGTGATGGCTGGGGCGCACTGACAGAGGCGAGGCTGCCGGACACTGGCGCCACTGGCCTCTGACCACCACCAGTAGGCAACGGGTGAAGTGTCTTGTCCAAGGACTCAACAACCGAGACTGTCCAAGCCGGGGCTCGAACCGGCAACCTTCTGATTACAAGACAAACTCCCAACTCTTGAGCCACGATGGGGAATAAACTGAGTAAGTATGCCTTGAAGGGGGATGGAATACATTGCAAAGTATTCACCAGGCAGCACGTAATATGTAGATCATTGAAGGAAGAAAAGAAGTGAAATTGTGTGCAAAGCAGTGTAATGTGTCTGAAGTCACTGTGTGTGTGAACCACAGAAAGGTGTGAAAGTGTGTGGGTGAGAATAGTCTCCAACTGGGGAAGAGGTGATTCTGCAGGTCACCTTCTACCCCAGTGGACAGAAAAGAAAGAAAATAGTTGTGCTGTTGATGAAAAAAAAAGGAATTGATAAATGAAGAGCTCAGCCTAAGGCAACTTCAATCTCACTTTCTGTTTTAAAGAAAGGAGAGTTCAAAAACCAGAGAGAGATATGTGTGTTGTTTTAGGCGTCTCTCTACTGTGAAAACAGGGTTAGAAGAGGCGAGGGTGCCGGGTTAGCCTCACCTCTTCCTCTGCGAGGCTAACCTGGCATAGCAGAGGGTGTGACTTGCAGGTGAAAAGCAGACTAGGATCAAATTTCCACATGCAGCAGTTGGAAGACAATTATAGGTTAATGTTATTAGAAACACCCAGGCCGAGTCTTGGCTGAATTGTGTTTACAGGTTAACTCCTAAGTGTTTCTCACCCTGGGAAAGCAAGCTCCACGGAAGCTACCTCTGCCTGAAGACAAGGAGTGCAGTTCTAGAACAATAAGATGGATATCAAGAGCTCACAGCAGGTCTAGAGACAGCAGTATCCTGAGCAGAGAGGTCCAGCAGCGCTTTGGGCAAACGGCATCAGAGAGAAAGAAAACCCATCACCTGACTGGATGGACATGCGTTTCCAGCAAGCTACAACTTCACTGTGTGTGAAGATGACTTTTGAGGAGACTGTCTGAGTGACATTTGCCACTTTTGGAGTGAAATGGCAAGATGAGACAGTGGAAAAGCTGAAGAGAACTGACTGCCATTGGACTGCAGAGTGGGAGAGGAGAATAGAGTGGAAGAAGCAGGTGAGAACACAGAAGAATGCTGTTGTTTAGTGTGGGAAATCAAAATTTGGGTTAGCAAACCTGTGAAAAAGGAAAATAACTGCTTTAAGTGGGAACATTTGAGGAGTCTGAAGCACTACAAAATGAGAAAGGTACAAAAAAACCCCCACACAAACGGAAAATGTATTAATCCTACTAACCCTACATACACATACAATGAAACTCATGAAGACCAGACAGCATCTTAAGCATGTGATTCTGTTTGTCATCTTATCCAAGTCACTTAGATGAGAAGTGATACATAGACTAGTGGACTAATATTATGGGTGGACAGATGATTGCATCAAAGCTGGGGGAAAACAGAATGCTGATGGGGGGTCTTGAATGAGTGAGCTGGGCGAGCTAATAGGTTGTTGAGTTTCTGATGTGTGTGAAGAAGTTTTAACATGGCACACATCTGATTACATGAGAAGAAACTCATTATGTGAAAAGACATCAGGGTTATGTTGTATGGTGTGTGTCGCAAGGTGTGAGGCTGATGGATGAATGCTTGAGATTAATCTGGCTGATGATTTGTCTTTTGTTACAGATTTGAACCTGCCAATTAGGTTTGGTATGATTTACCCTCCTGGGACGAAGAGCATGTCATGACTTAACAAGGCTTTTCTTTTCTTTTTTTCTTTTTATTTTGTTACTTTTACAGTGCACTGAAAGTTTTGTTGCTAAATCTCTGCCATTTAAGAAGATCTGAACAATTTGAACAGGAAGAGCTACACAACATTTTGTCGTGACATAAATTCCTGATTTGAAATTCTGATTAACTATATGGGCTCACATGGAAATCAACAGGCTGACATTAACATTAAAGTACAGTTAGAGCTTAATGCATTCCACTGAGTTTTCCTTAAGTTCACATCTTACAGTGCACTTTTTACAGCCTGGAACAAACATTTCAACAATGTGACTTAAATCTGACATTTCAAACACATTTGATTGATTTGAAATATTCTAATATTATAAGATGATGAGAGGAAAAAGGTTCATTTCCTAAAAATCAAAGTTTATATTCACTGCAGTCAGATCAAAAGCTTTACTTTAGTACAACATCTACATGTTAATATTAGTTTGCTCACAGTTGTTCATTTCTTCCTCTTTCACACTGAAAAACAGAGAGACTGAAAATATCTGGAACATCTGCACTTTGAATTAAATCACATCTATTTTATACAGTTACAAGTCAACAGCTTTGATTTAGTATTACTATATAATATATACCATAAATGATTATATATTATTATTTTAAAGAGATATTTTCAAACTACTATTCTTAGCAAGAAAAAAAAGCTAAATGAATGTGTGACAGCTCAACATCTGACTTATAATATAGATATAGTGTGAGTGATATGCAGGCAGCTTAAAATGTTGTGAGTTATGAACAGACAGTTTAATACAGGAACTTTGGTTGTGTTTCATCCTAACACGAGAAATGTAAAAGCTGTTTTAGCAGTCGTCCTCTCTCTGTTTGATTGTGACCAGTCTGCTGGAGCAGAGCCCACAGTTTGTAAATCTATCATGTTGAGTCTACCACGCAGTATTAGGGCCACATTAAGACACAAAGTTGTTGCTGATCATTTGGAGAATACAGTGGAAATTTGGAGATGAAATTGGAAATGTGCAGATTACAGTTGTTGTTTCAAGAAAAACTGCCACAGCTGCTGTACCCTCTACAAAATGCCTTGTGTAGATGAGTTAATGAAACAAGCTGATCAGCTGTCTAGTGATACAGCATTCCTCTTTATTACACAAAGGTGGAATCATTGATAATCTCGTGTCTGCCCATGACCAGCCATTTCATTTTCTAAAAATCTGCCCAACTCTTTCACGTTTGTGTATGTGTGTGTGTGTGTGGTTTTTTTTTACTATTTATATGGCACATATTTCACATTAGAAATATCACACGGCACACCACCAAACAAATATGTAATTTTCCCCCACACACCAGGTATAGTGAAATTGGCTCGGTTTGTCCTCAGTATACCTTTTTTGCTTTCTTCTGACCACTACTCATGCTAGGGCCGTCATCTGGGTCAGAATTTTCTCCAGGACTGAGGTCAGACTGATTACTTTTTCTTTTCAAATATTTATCTATTGTTGTTACGCACTGTGTTTTCTCACAGCATGACTATTATGTAATTTCTTCTTTTGTTTTACTGGCAGTTGGGAACCCATTCAATTAGATCAGATAGTTGTACTGCCCTCTAGTGGAAGATAATGTCATTATTCTGCCCGTTACTCAGCCGGTGGCTTAGAGTACTAAGCACAGGTGATCATTTCTCACAACACACCTATGTGCTGCGGCAGTGGTTGGGAAACATTGATTTAGAGTTCATGGAGATGTTAGTGACATCATAGCCGTACGTATTGATCTGATATGGAAGTTCATGTTTCTGTGATTGGATCAGTTTTTAAAAGCAGGTGTTTTTATAGAACGACAGAAACCTGATAGATGCTGAATGTCTATTTTATACACTGAGTACTTTTGGATGTCCACTTAATCAGTAATTATGGTAAAATCCCACGAAGAAAGAGAAATCAAACATTTGGATGCATTTTATTGACCTCAGTTTTGTTTATAATACAGAGGAGCTGGTTGTAAACTGAGCATCAGAGAAACACAACATACTCATATTCTCTGTGAAAAGCGCTATATAAATACATTTTACTTACTTACTGTGAAACTTTGAATGGAAAAAGACAAAAAACAACATGTGGATTCTGGAATAATGGTAGCTTCCATCTTTAAAGGACCGAAGAGGAAGAAGTTTACAAGGAATCATTTAGAACAGTTTAAAACATGAACGGATTGAATCCATGAATCTAAAATCATGTTTCTGAATGAAAGAGACAGACATGTACAGACTGAACTATCTCTTCAACAGCTAGTGTTTCCCTAACAGGAGGACACTCTTTACATTTAACTCAGCACAGACACACTGAGGCACCAGAAGACCTGAACCAAAATCCAGGATAAAGAGGTTCAGTGAATGTGGTGTTGAAGGTGTGGATGTGGATCAGAGTGTCTGAGGAGACTCTGTAGAAGGACAGAGTGCCAGCAGGGCAGTCCACATACACTGCTACTCTGTTAGAGACAGAGAAGGCAGCGGAGGACACTTTGCTGCTATTGTGCCAGACAGAATGAGACCCATTATCTGAGCACCTCAGACTCCAGGATTTATCGTTTTCTCCAAACACACAGTCATCACCATCTCCTTTCCTTTCAATTCCTCTGTAACTCACTGCTATCTCAACCCTTCTTCTCCACTCAACCTCCCAGTAACAGCGACCAGTCAGACCATTTGTATACAGCAGCTGATAACAAACATCAAATCTGTCTGGATGATCAGGATAGGACTGAACCTCGTCCACCCGTGTCACCTTCCTGTTGTTGTCAGACAGTTTGAGGTTTGGGTGTACTGTGTTTGTGTCGATTGTGAGTTGACAGGAATCTGATGGAGAGAACAAACACAATCCAGGTTCAGTTATTGATCCATCATCTGTTCATTGATTGACACTTTGATGATGACTCCTGACATGAGAGATGTGAATGAATGATGTGACAGTTTGAAGATGGTTGAATGTGTGCTGCTTTGTTTTCATGAATCACATTAAAAGCACACTTACACTTCCTCAGGCCTGGTTTTAACCATTGGGTTCCAGCAGGCTCCACCCTGAAAGGAGGAAGAGGGTCAGACCTTCAGCATGCACACATGGAGAACCAAAGAGATGGTAGTGACCTTTTCCAGCAGAAAAGGAGCTGGCTAGGGCTGTTTCCACCACTACCCATGGGTCACTAGTAGAGATCATGAACGAGTACAAGTACGTGGAGACCATCTTCGACAACCACCTGAGATTCTCCTCCAACGCTGAGGTGCAACCAGACAATGGATCTCCTTAGAAAACTGAACTCCTTCTGCATCAGTAATAATATCTTACTGGCCTTCTATTAAACCTTCATTGAAAGTGTCAGGACATTTTGTCTGATCTGTTGGTTCCATTTCATCACCATGCAGGATGAGAACTGACTACGAACTTTGTCAAGATGTCATGTAACATGTTGAGATGAAATTATTTGAAGTGCCTCAATGCTATGCTTTATATTAACTAAAATCTCATATAATTATATAGTGTAGTATTAAGTGGACACAGCCCTGAACAATAAAGGCTCTTAACGCCGGTCAGAATAAAGTGTGAAATGGTCTACTGAGCAGTGTGTTGTCTTCCATCAGTGTTGATATTTAACAAACGTCAACATTTGTCGCCTTCTCAATATTCTGTACACACCATCCAGCGACACTACAGAATGTGTTCTTTACCTTGATGAAGAGAAAGCTTTTGACTGTCTAGGATGGAACTATTTATTTGCTGTGCTGGAAAGATTTGTTTTTTGTCCCAATTTCATTTCATGGATCAAGTCCCTATACTTGTCTCCTGTTGCTTCAGTTTGCACTAATAGCCAGAAATCAAAATTATTCCTTAAAGAAGTCACACAACAGGGTTGCAACCTTACTTACTTACCACCTTTGTTATTTGATCTAGCTATTGAACCCTAAATGAAGAAGCGTTTCAAATAGATTTGTCTGGTTTCCCTTTTAAACTGGTCAAAGAGCAGTTTACCTCCTTGGGTATTACAATTACAAGAAAGTATAAACAACTTCTTAAAGCCAACTTTTTTACACTATTGAAGAATCTCAAACAAAGCCTACTACAGTGGTCATCCCTGAACACAACTCTGGTCAGATGAATTAATTCAATTAAAATGAATATCCTTCCTAGGCTTATTTTAATCTTATTTCAATCTTTATCCCCAAGTCTTTCTCTACAACCCTCGATTCTAAAATTTCCTCCTACATTTGGAAGGGTAAACGGCCTCAAGTAGCTAACGTGCATTTACAGAAAACTAAGATTGAAAGGGGTCTGGCACTCCCCAACTTTAGCTTTTACTATTGGGCTGCCAATACTTGCTCCCTGACCTACGGGTTAAAGTCTGGAGAGGGTGTGGACCCCACCACTTGGCTGGCAATGGAATCAACTCAGTGTATTTCTCTTGCTTCCTTTCTGGGTTCTTCTCTCCCTCTATCCATTGAAACCTTATATCTAATCCAATAATTCAGCACTCCCTCGGGCTGTGGACTCAGTTCAGGAGACATTTCAACCTTAATCAAGCCGGGGCTCGAACCGGCAACCTTCTGATTACAAGATTGCCAACTCTTGAGCCACGATTGCCCCAAATCTCTGGCATCCATAACAAACTGTGGAGTGTAACCTCAGCTCCCCTTGAAGGCTTAAATTCCACATGGGAGGAGTTGCGCATATCTATGTCAGATGACGTTTGGGAGTCCTTACTCTGGTAAAAACCACGCCACTCTACACTCACCACTCCCTATTACAATTAAAAGTAGTCCATAGGGCCCAATTATCTAAATCCAATTTAGCTAAGATTTATCCTAGCTAAGACCCTCGCTGTTACAGGTGTGGGTCTGATGATGCCAATCTTACCCACATGTTTTGGACCTGCCCTGCCTTGCCAAATTTTTGGAAGGAAATTTTCTGCACTCTGAACAAGGCTACCAGGCTGAACCTGACTCTCAACCCCCTACTGGCTCTCTTTGGGACACTGGGTGAGGATCGATAAGTATATTACTGGGGCAAAACGTCGGGTGCTGTCCTTTGGTTATCTTCTGGCTAGGCGTACCATTTTGATGAGGTGGAAGGCTGCTGCTCCACCCACCCATGTTCAGTGGCTTGCTGATCTAATTTCATGTCTCAGTCTTGAAAAGATCCACTGCTCCACCCAGAACCAAAAGGGCACGTTCGATCAAATCTGGGGTCTATTTCTGACAAACTTCTCTAACCTTCAATTTAAGAACATTCCTGCTGACTAGCAGATTTTCTTCTTCCATAGAGGTTTGATGTGTGTCTGTGTTTATGGGAATGTGAAGCTCAGTAGTGTTGCAGCTAACTTCTGTGTGGTTTGTATGGAAAGTTTTTGTTTGTATCAATCTCCCTCCTGGGTTGTGGGTTTTTTGTAAATGTTTTATTAACTTATGTTCTAACATGAGAAGTTCCGTTTTGTATTCAGTGTAAACTGTTTTTGTCGTTTCCCTTTTCATTTCTTTTTTTGTAAACTGTATCCACAATCACTCACTAAAATATTGTGAGTAAAGGTGTGTTGGAACATTATATGACTCCCTGTCATTATATTTTTATGTGTTACACTGGTCTTTCATATGGTTTTTCAGTGTTGAACAATCTCCAGTCTTAATGAGATTGTTCTCCTAAATATCTCGTGCCACCTTGGATGGTTCAGACAAGAACAGCTGGTTTATTTTCCCAGCTTCTTTTTCTTTGGTATATCTATTCAGGCGGTTAACCAAAGCTGTAATTTGTTGGGATTTGTCAGGTTTGGGAAAACTATTATATTTCTTATGCAGCCCTTTCTTCATCACACCTGTGAAAGTACCTTACTGCATAATTACAAAGAGATCTACCCAAATAGTGAAAGAAAGAAATTACATTTATCATTGCTCCTATAAAAGTTACTGCAGTATACTTTCATAAATATCTCATTATTAATTAATTAAATAATTTCTTTATGTTTTTAAATTAGACCAGTGTTCTATTCAGAATGAACAAAAAATGGTTCTGCATTTGTAATTTGTGACAAAATGTCAATTAGTAACTCAGTGAAGGACACAAGAAATGTATCCAGCTCCTTCTCCTCTATCAGACATTACCTGAGAGTGTCCAGTTTCCAACGTGGATCCTTCAATTCCAGCTGCTTCATTCCTGAAGGTCCTGGATGATTGTAGCTCAGGTCCAGCTCTCTCAGATGGGAGGGGTTGGAGCTCAGAGCTGAGGCCAGAGAAGTAAAGCCTTCCTCTGTGATCAGACAGCCTGACAGACTGCAGACACACAAAACACTTCATTAAAGACTTTCACAATTTATTTATTTATTTTAGTGGAGATACAATGTTATCCAACCATTACATCCATGAAGTTCATTCTAGCTTTTAAAAGAAAAGTGACTATTCACACCTGATAACACCTCTTGTGTGAACTTGTTTAATAATACACATCTGGGTCATTTCATTTCAAATTAGCTAATGTTTAGAACATTTTCTGCTCAACTAGCTCCAATTTTCCACGAACCTCCATCATCTTTTATGACTGTCTTTTTTTCACTAGTTTTGCATTTTGGCTATGGTCACTTCTGGTATCATGAGGTGATACCTGGACCCTACTAGGATAGTATAGGTAGTCCAACTGTTTTGATTTGGGATCAAATACTTACTTCCCTCAATGGAATGTAAATCAAACTATTAATTTTGTTACATTTTATTTCTGAATTTTTGGTTAATATTCCTTACTGTGTGAAGTTTGTGTGTTAACCCCATGTTTGTGTGTGTGTGTTTTTTTTTTTCAGGTACTCTGGCTTCCTCCCACAGTCCAAAGGCATGCAGTTAGTTGGGTTAGGTTAGTTGTTAATTCTAAATTGCCCATTGGTGTGAATTTGAATGCCAGTGGTTGTCTGTCTCTATGTGTTAGTCCTGCGTCAGGCTGGTGACCTGTCCAGGGTGCGCACTGCCTCTCTTCCTATGCTAGCTGGGATAGGCTCCCCCCAGTGACAAGGATAGAGAATAGATGGATAGGGTGTGTAATATCAGCAGTTATTAAATCTTTTTCATTATCCATTTATTTTCTTAACTTATTACTAATTTGTTAATTCTGTCAGAAAACGAATGAAATACTTGATCTCACCTGAGAGTTTTCAGAGCACAGTGTGGACTCTTCAGTCCTTCAGACAGAAGCTTCACGCCTGAATCCTCAAGGTCATTGTTGCTCAGGTCCAGCTCTGTCAGAGTAGAGGACTGGGAGCTGGACAGCAGTGAGGACAGAGCTTCACAACTTCTGTTTGAAAGGTTACAGCTGCCCAGTCTGAACGAGAATATTTTTAATCAAAGTAAATCACTTTAGTTGTTGAACATACACACAACAGAATATCTCATCATTTTTTATTTAAGAACTTAAAATTTAAAGATTTTTAATAAAAGCAAAATTTATTCTAAATTTAAATAAATGAAGGGCCATAAGATTTAGTGTTAAATAGTAGTAATTTGGTTTGATCAGCAGGAGCTAAAATGGCTTTTTTCAACAAGCCATTTATATAATATAATACAACTTAATATAATATAAACAAATGTTGCATATACTGAATATCTTACCACTGTGACAGTCTTACACTTTAAATTCTGACTACACCCATGCATAAGCTACATAAGCTACAAGTGCTACATAAGCACTTGTTTTACTTTAATATTTTCTATGCTCAGAGTTAAGTTTATTTCTTATTTTAGTTAGCTGTTTATTTAGACGTGTGAAAGGAACTCACAAAGTAAGAATTTCATTGCTATGTGTAACCACTTGTGTTTTGCAGTGTATATACTGATACATTTCTTGAATCTTGGGGGTGCTCAGGTCTTAAAGGGAATGTGGACTGATCCTAATCATCTTCTCAGCAGAATAATTCACAGGGTGCAAAGTGTCTATATTCTTGGCAGTGACAGCACCATAACACTTAGTCAGAAAGAGTTGAAGATCGAGTGATGGAAGAGTAGGAGTGCACCATAGGTGACTTTGGCTGGTTGAATGTCTTCAGCTGCCATACAGAGTACGTCTTTTGCTGTGCCTTCTCAATTAAGGAAGATGGGAAGATGGGGTCTGCTGGGGGTGCTTGGTGCTTTGTTGTAACTGGGAAGATGCAGGAGTTCTGTGTGATGTTATAAAAGAGATGCTGTGGCATCTCAAGGGCAGAGCTCTCATGACCGTATAACTGTGATGTTTGCTGTCTTTTTGCTCTCCTGCATACAGAAATAAAAGGCTTGACCACAGCTGATCGCACTGCAGACTTTATCAACAGAAAGAGACCACCAGTCTCATGTGATGCCTTCTGTTACACAGGAAGCAAGTGATCCAGCTGCAGATGGGAGCAGGATTATGCACCTGGCAGAGCTTGTCCTGCAGCAGAGTGGAACTAAAATCCACAAAGAGTAGGCTGGCTCAAGTTATTGTTGACGCCATGGACTGCCATGTTAACATCACTGTTGACCAACCAGTTGACTCTGTAGCTGAACTAAAGAAGGTCTAGGATTGTGTCAGTGACAGATTTGGTATGGAAGCGAGGTACTCAAATGATAGTGTAACCAATGCCTTGATGCATTCTCAATAATCCAGGAAAGTAAATCTCCAAAGTGACTTCTTTAGTCTGAAGAAGTCACTTGGATGAGTGACGAAACGTTTCTCCCACAAAACGCTACGTCCAGATGAACAGAATCAACTTTTGGAGATAGTGTAATCAAGTTATAGTGTAATCACTTTCACTACCAGTAAGGTATTTGCAGCTTGCCAGCCACTGCCATTATTTTTAAAGATATTCATGAATCTTTAAGACTAAATTCTTTTCTCTTATGAATATAAAAACACTAAGCACAGGGGAACTTCATTCATGCACTTGACACAACTGAGGGCTGACAATCATTTCACTGAATAGAGTCACAGTTTACGTAACCTAATATACCATTTGTGTTTTAATTAATTGATCACTTTATCTATTTTTAATTGCTTTAGCCTAGATTGTTGTCAGTTTGAATCAGCATTTAAAGCAACATATTTACTCACAGAGCCATCTTGGAGGCTTTGACCACTGGCAGCAGCCTCAGAAAAGCCTCCTCTGAAGCAGAATATTTCTTCAGGTCAAACACACCCAGATCTACTTGGGATGACAGTAAAATGAAGACCAGAGCTGACCACTGAGCAGGAGACACTTTATCTGTGGAGAGACTTCCTGATTTCAGGGACTGTTGGATCTCCTCCACTAGAGAACGATGATTCAGTTCATTCAGACAGTGGAACAGATTGATGCTTTTCTCTACAGACAGATTCTCACTGAGCTTCTGCTGGATGTACTGGACTGTTTCCTGATTGGTCTGTGAGCTACATCCTGTCTGTGGCAGCAGACAGGATGTCTCCTCGTAGAGACTGCTTGTAGAGTCTCCTTGTAGGTGACTCTGATTGGTATGTGATGAAAGACCCAGGAGGAAACGGATGAACATGTCCAGGTGCCCATTTGGACTCTGCAAGGCCTTGTTCACAGCACTCTGGTGGAGAGATTGTAGGTTTGGTTTGTTATGGGAATTAGGCCACTTTGAGATTGTTTGTTCCTCTTCCAGCAGATTGACTCCAGAGTTGATAAAGGTCAGATGGACATGAAGAGCAGCCAGAAACTCCTGAACACTCAGATGGATGAAGCAGAAGACCTTGTCCTGGTACAGTCCTCTCTCCTCTTTAAAGATCTGTGTGAACACACCTGAGTACACTGAGGCTGCTCTGATGTCGATTTCACACTCTGTCAGGTCTGATTCATAGAAGATTAGGTTTCCTTTCTGCAGCTGATCAAAAGCCAGTTTTCCCAGAGACTCAATCATCTCCATGCTCTCTTGACTCCAGTGTGGATCTGTCTCAGCTCCTCCATCATACTTGACTTTCTTCACTTTGGCCTGAACCACCAGGAAGTGGATGTACATCTCAGTCAGGGTCTTGGGTAGCTGTCCTCCCTTTCTGGTTTTCAGCACATCCTCCAGAACTGTAGCAGTGATCCAGCAGAAGACTGGGATGTGGCACATGATGTGGAGGCTTCGTGATGTCTTGATGTGGGAGATGATCCTGCTGGCCTGCTCCTCATCTTTGAATCTCTTCTTGAAGTACTCCTCCTTCTGCGGGTCAGTGAACCCTCTGACCTCTGTCACCATGTCAACACAGTCAGGAGGGATCTGATTGGCTGCTGCAGGCCGTGTGGTTATCCAGAGGCGAGTAGAGGGAAGCAGTTCCCCTCTGATGAGGTTGGTCAGCAGCACATCCACTGAGGTGGGCTTTCTAGGGTCAGATAGGATTTTAGTTTTGTGGAAGTCCAGAGGAAGTCGACACTCATCCAGACCATCAAGGATGAACACAACCTGGAATTCTTCAAAGCTGCAGATTCCTGCTTCTTTGATTTCAGTAAAGAAGTGATGAACAAGTTCCACCAGGCTGAACGTTTTCTCTTTCAGCACATTCAGCTCTCTGAAAGTGAATGGAAATATGAACTGGATGTCCTGGTTGGCTTTGCCTTCAGCCCAGTCGAGGGTGTATTTCTGTGTTAAGACTGTTTTCCCAATGCCAGCCACTCCCTTTGTCAGCACTGTTCTGATTGGTTCATCTCTTCCAGGTGAGGCTTTAAAGATGTCTTCTTGTCTAATTGTTGTTTCTTCTCTGTCTAGTTTCCAGGATGCTGTTTCAATCTGTCTGACCTCATGTTCATCATTGACCTCTGCAGTCCCTCCCTCTGTGATGTAGAGCTCTGTGTAGATCTGATTCAGAAGGGTTGGTTTTCCTGCTTTAGCAATCCCCTCAAACACACACTGGAACTTCTTCTGCAGCTTAGATTTGAGTTCAACCTGGCTCCAATGGGCGTCCTTAATGAAAGTTTCTAAAATAAACAATGGATAAAAATAATCATTCATGAAAAAATCAAATGCACGTTTTGATTACACGTTAGTCTATTAATTCAAATTAAATTAAAAAAAAAAAAAATCAAATTTAGCCAGCTTCTTAAATCCTCAGAGAAATCCTCTTACTGGTCTTTATAAGGTCAGCAAGTTCATCATGCTTCATTTTCCTCAGGAAGTCTAGTGTGATGTTCATAAAAGCCTCTCTGCTGCTGCTCTCGTCACCCTGCTTTAGACTCTCTTGTTCTGGGTAATCAGAGTTTAGAAGCTTCTGGATTTTCTTCAGTTCATTCTTCACAAAAGTGATGATATTGTCCTCCAGGACCTGGAACAGAATTCAATATGAATACCTTAATCAGCCATAAACATTGATTGGTTAGGCAGTGAAAAAAGACAGGAAAAACCTAAAACAAAGCAGAACAAATGAAAAGGAACAAGAAAAAAAAGAAGAAAAAAAACCTACAAATTTTCAGGAAATAGAGAAATATGTGTGCATTAAATAGAGGACAAAGGAGAGGAAAACCTCAGTGTATCATGGGGTTTTACTATATGCTAAGGCTGCATCAGTAGCCTTAGCATATAGTAGCATAAGTGAAACAGAGAATGTTTTTAAATCAACTGCCCTAATTATAAGCTCATGCCCTAATTATTAAAGGGAAGTTGGAAAGTTTGAAGACTAATCCTAAAGTCAGAGAGGGTGTCTTTTTCCTGAATAAGAACTGGAAGTTGGTTTGAAAGGAAAGGGCTCAATAGCTGGAGGTCCTGTCTTCCATTCTGTTTTTGAAAACTTTAGGAAATACAAGTAAGCCATCAGTCTGAGAGACACGTGCTCTGTTAGGATAAGAAGGTACTATGACCTCCAATATGCAGCTGCTGGAACATTTTTTATATTGTGGCACAATCATTACTGTCACTGTCGACAGTTAGAGCTGAGGTCATTAGTATTGATTAAACTGTACCCACAATCCTTCAGTGCAATGTAAACTCTGGGCTATATATTTTCCTTTTAAAAAGATCAGAAATATATTGATATCAGCGCTGCAGCTGACCAAAGTGAGACTGATGCCCTTTCCAAAGACCAAGTTTTCAGTGTTTTTCAGTTATCTATGTAGCCCACATAATTTAGTGGACACTCCCAACACATGCACCAGTTGAAGGATAACATGTAAAAGTAGGCACTGGTATAGATACAACAGCATAGTCCAGCATTCTTTTGGCATGCTCAGTTTAAATTTTCGTGGTTTGTTTTACAGTGTTGAGTTGTGCTTTTTTCCACCACCAGTACTAAAAAAAAAAAAAAAATACTTATATGGACTATTAGTGTTACGAGCCAAAAGGATTAACTATAAATCTAACGTATTATAGCACGATGATTAGAGAAGGCAGAGGTCTGATCATCAAGTTTCTTTTTAAGGACAACTGACATTTCAAGCCACGACATGGACATTGCTGTGAAAGATGTAAAAGTTGTTGAAATTGTACAAACCTTAAATATGGAGTCCAGCTGTGTTTGATGCTCCTGGGCAGGCTGACCACTGGGGACCTCTGAGTGCTCCTGGTCCACTCTGGAGGAAACATGAAGAACATGAATAATACAACAAAACAGTGTAACCAGCTACCAACGGTGATGGTGGTCCTCGGTGTCCTACAAAAACCACTTCCACCTGGCTCTGAGAAAGTTCTCTGTGGTTTATGAAGACAGGTCAGTGGCTTCCTCTCAAATATACTCTTATTGTCTTAACACCAGAAACACACAACTTAAATAATGGTCTCCATCCAAACCCCCCGAATCAAATCTGACTGGCATTTTTAGTTTTATTGTTCTGTCATGTCAAAAACCTTTAAAACCCATACTGCTATAAAAATATATACATATGTGTTTTTTTTAAACTAACTCAGTCAAGACAAGCAAGGGTCTAAAGCTTGGAGAGAGAGACTATACATAAAACCCATAAAACCGATCTCCTCTGAACCAAAGCCATAAAGTAAGAGACCTGGGAGTGGTCTGTGACTCAGATGTCAATTTGAGGTCTCATGTGTCACTAATTCTGACTTTAAATCACCTTATACTCAATATTGCTGGTGTAACTAACCGATAGGGTTAAATGGATTTTATATTATTTTAAAATAATTTTTCAGATTTTTAAAGAATTTCACAGTCTGTTCTGGTATGAACGTCTTACACAGCATATGAATCAGTTCACACTTGAAACACCTGAGTGGAAGTTCCTACCTACACTGTGTTTGAAGCAAAGCACAAAGGAGACACCTGCTGGAGAAGCTGGAGTCCTACAGACACTCGGCCTCTTCACTACAGAAACACCTACAACATCCACTCTTTACACTCTGACTGTTGTGTTTGTGGAAACACTCCAACACACACCGCTTCACATATGAACATAGAAATGTGTGTGAAAAAGAGCTGAGCTGACATTTAACATGATGGAGGATTTATTCACAGACACTTATGGAACGCAAAGACTGATATAATGAATTAATTAAATAGACCATTAAATAATTAATTAATTAAATTAATTAAATGTGAAAATAATTAATTACACTTGGAAATAATTAATACTTAGCACACATTGAATTAATTATTGAGACATTTAATTAATTATTTAATGATTTATTTATTTAATTCATTTTGGCACTCTTGTCCCCTTCAGCTCTCACCATAAATGTATTTTATCATGTAATGTATTTATTTCATCCTCCCCCATCAAACTCAGGGTTTGGTTAATCCTGTCACTGCAGCTTCTCTAACATCTGATTGGTTGCCATGTAAAGTAAGTCAAGACAGGTCGATCTTAGAAAATTAGCTGTGTCCCAAAATGTAGGCTGCATCCTCCGGAGGCCGCATTTGTAGACCGATTACGTCACAGCGACACGGTGAAGGCTGCCCCAATTCGTAGACTCCTCCGAATCCAGCCGACAAATGCGTCCTTCATTTCCCCAGATTTGAAGGATGGGTCAAGTGTATTCTTCGTGGCCCACCATATCCCAGAATTCATAGCGTCGCCCAGCCAATTCCAGTTTTCAACAATGGCTGCCCCTACTAAGTTTTAATATTACTCTTATTAATCTTTCTGGGTTACAAAATAAACTTTTAACATATTTTCAGGCGAGAAAGTAGCTGTGTAAACTTCAAATATCTGCCTTAGTTTATCAAGACATCGCATATTTGCAAAACTCCTCCGACGTTTTCGGAGACATCTGTTACCCACCCGCTCAATACCTAACCAGGGGGTTCAATGGTCACTTGAGACAGTGAGAGCAGCGGACTCCCGGCTTCATCGTTTTCAGACCCCTGTGGTTATTCGCTACTACGATTAAACATGATATATAAGCCACTCAGATAACTTAAAAATGTTATTGTTTTTCTGTGTTTTATTTGTTCATGAGTAATTTGGTTTAGCTGAAAACAAAGTTATTAGATTTGATTAGATTAAATAAAACTTTATTAATCCATCGGGTGTATTCCTCCGGGGTTTTCACACAGCTGAATAAACGTCAAACAGAAAACTGATTAAATAGAAGTGTGAGATGGTCAAGAATTTACGGCAGTGTCCTGTTATATTTTAGATAGCAAGGAGCAGACGGCTGAGTTTATTAAACTCCACCAAGACAGCTGGTGACGCAAAACTGAAGGCTAGACCGTCCCATTTCACAGCCTCGCACTTCCGGCCTTCTCAGTCTTCGAACGACCCGGCCCATGTAGATCGTGAAGGTTGGGTCCTCCGATTGCTGTGTCCCAAAACATGTGGCCTATGTTTTGGGACACAGCTATTGATTGCTGGTGTGGACTTGGGGCATCCAGGTATCCCAGAATGCATTTCAAATCACAGGCAGCAATGTTGGTGGCCTAAAGTTAAAATACTGTGTTTTTCTGTCTCCACCTACACCTTTCATATTTTTTTAGCCGCTCACATATACATATATATATACACACACACACACACACACACACACACACGTATACATACATATATACATATGCACAAACAAAAAAGCAATGGTTTCATTGGTTTTGACTTGATCAGCGTTGACCCCGTGAGTGATGAGTGAGGTTGACAGATAAAATTATTTCATGGTGAGAGCTAAAGGAGTCAGGTCTGCAAAAATGAATTAATTAAATACTCCATTAAATAATTAATTAAATGTGGCAATAATTAATTAAAATGTTAAATTAAAAAAATAATTATTTAAATGCTGGAGGAGGTGGCTGGGGAGAGGGAGGTCTGGGCTTCTCTGCTTAGGCTGCTACCCTGGCGACCTGGCCCCGGTTAAAGCGGAAGAAGATGGATGGAATTAATTAAATGTGTCATAAATATTTATTTAATTAATAATTTAATTAAGTATTATCACCACATTTAATTAATTATTTAATGGTGTATTTATTTAATTAATTATGTCAGTCCTGGCATTCCACACACACTGAGTCACAACAACATTTAGACACACATTACCTCTCTGCAGGAGAACAAGCGCCTGATTTAAAGGTAACGTAATAATCCTTTGACTGCTCACTCTTTAAGGACACACAGCTGGGTTCAGGTTCGTGTTTCCGTTTAGTTCCTCGTTTCTTCCTGTGAATAATGATGGAGCAGTGATGTGAGTGCTGACCTGTGACATGGAGAAAAGTCATGGACAGTTAGAGATGGTCATCTCACCTCTCAGCTTTGGTCTGGCTCTCATCTTCCCCACACAGAGTGGTTTTAGAGGGAGGGACTCCCTCCTCTCTGTCCTCACACTGATCCATGCTGCTGAATTCAAATCCACGTCAGTTCACACAAACTTTCTCCTTTCACCTGTAGAGGAAACACAAATTATTCATGTGCACATCAACTGAAATCCTCCTTTCCATCGTGTGTGCTGTCCAAATATCAGCTGCTTGTTTCCTGGTTCATCTCAGTGTCAGCTGAATGCAGTCAGACAGCAGTGTGAGGCAGAGGAAGCTGCCATCAGCTGTTCTACATCTACTATCAGTCCAATTTGCCATGAAGCACACATAATGCATTCACTGACACACACTGATTCACTGTGACTGGAAGCTTCAGTCAGTTCAAAACGTCTGAACAACATTTTCAAACATTTCAGCTGATCCATGATTCAAAGAGGATCAGCTGAGTTAAAAACTTCACACTAATTATTGCTGAAGAGTTTGAACAAGAAATATGTTCCATCTCAGCTCTTCTTCAGTGTGGAGACTCAGAGACTCTGTAGGTCAAAGCGACTTAGAGATTCATGTGATGAACTAATAGGAAGAAATCCAAATGACTACGTTTGCCTCAAAAGGTAGTGGGATTGCTATATACCTATCAGAAGGACAGCAGTTCAATTGCCAGCAACATGTTGTACAACAAGTATTTTTGGGAAAGATATCGTCCCTGACGATGAAAATTGTTATTATTTTTTTATATAGCACTAAATCAGTACAGTTCCCTGAAGGTACAGGGACACACTCAAAGTGTGTTCCTGTGTGTGCAAATGTTGGGCAAGTTGCTCAGGTATTATATAAGGTGTGTTTGATCAGATAAATGAAGCTTGTAATCAAAAGTAAATTTTCTGGCTGATATTCAAATCCTTTGACTCTGATAATGTGCAGGCTGAGAGCTGCACACCTGAAGATCCACCGAAAATTTACTTTTGATTACAAGCTTCATTTATCTGATGAAAACTGCCACCACCTGTGGCTTCCACGCTGTCGCCTGCAGCGCCTCCGCCTTCCATGCCGTTGCCTGCTGCGCCTGCCTGTCTGGTCCTGCCTCGCCTGGTCCTGCGATTGCTACGCCACTGTCCAAGGTTCATCCAGCGCCTCAACATCGAAGGCCATCCAGGCCACTGGGTGGGCGTCATCCTCGTCATGGGCGACCTCCAGACCTGCTTAGTCACCTTTGCCACCACCCGCCAGGTCGACCTCCGGACCTTTTGAATTATGAACTGTTGTGCCATCGCCCGCCGGGCCAGCCCCCGGAACTTCCCGATTTTGAACTTTTGTGCCATCCCCCGGGTCGACCACCTGAACTGTACTGTTTTAGACCCCTGTGTTGCTGTCCTTCAGGTCAGTCTCCTGAACTGTTTTCAAACTGTGACCCAAGCTCCTGTGTTTCTTATGGACTTTTCATATTTGATCTCTTGGTGCTCCTGTTTTATTTGTTGTGTTACCTTGTGTGCCTCTCTGTAAAGTTTAGCTTATATTTTCCCCGTTTAGTTTTGCATTATTATTTGTGTCCCACCACGCCAGCAATAAAGCTGTGAGTTTGTGTTCACCCCTCGTGTCGGAGAGCCTGCATTTTGGGACTCCTGCCTGCCACACACCGATTCATGACAGATTTTACATCGGTACAATATTATTCTAAAACTAACAATATTTTCTAAATACTAATCAATGCTAATAAATGGTCATAACCATAAAAAAAGGCAAACATGTATTTTGACTTCTACTGGAGCAATAATTTGATTGCTATGTAATCTTCATCATTAAACAACGGCCGGAAGTTAAGTATAGTAAATATAGTAACTTTTGTTTGGTGTAATTCCGTCAGTCTGAGTCGCATTTAAAATGTAAAACCGGTTCCACCGCCCTCTATTTGTTTGTGAATACTCTGTTGGACCAGAGTCAAAAGTTTGTGACGAAACACTTTTAAGCAGAGGACAACATCTATGATCTATATCCAAGATACAGGTATAAAAACTTTAACTTAATAAGTCGCTTTATCTATCCAGTTGAGTTCTGGTCGCATTTAGTGTTTCAGTGTTAGCCAGAAAAACATTACAGGCTGACTTCAATGGAAAGTCCGGAAATAAAAACACACACAGTTTGTCGTGTGAAGAAATCAAACATGAGATGAACAAACAGTAAAGTTCCTAAAGACAAACTGTCACAGGAGAAAACAAAGCAAACTTACAGTTTCTTCAAACACACACACGAACAACAAGCTCCACTCCAAACCTGGGCACTAAACACGGACACACAGGTGAGCTGTTTCCTGGAAAGAGGCGGGACTCTACCTGAAGCTCAGCACAGTTGGGAGGGGGGAGGAGGTTTCTTTTTTTTTTTCAGATGAGCTTCCGAATGTTTAACTTTGTGAGTCAGATTTAAAGTAGATTCAAACTTGTCTCATTTAATCATGTTATTCTCTGACAAATTTTTGTTCTTATTAAAATAAAAAAAAAGACTTTGTATCTTTCACCAAATTCATGATTACCAGTAATCTTAATACAAGATCAACTGCCACAGCTTCATGTGTTCATTCCTAAAATATGCCGTCTGACTGCTCAGACTGAGCCCGAGTCAGAGCAAAGTTCACGTGCTGTGTTATGGTGGCTACTCAAAAACAAAGCAAAGTTTTACTGGTTCCTTTTCTTAAAAGTAATGGAGAAGGTTACTTAATTACTCTCTGGAGTAAGTAATTTTCTCTACCTGGGCTCAAAAGCAGAGGTGAAAGAGTCTTTTCATTCATGGCTCATTACATTTAGCCTGCCCTTTTACATGAGAGCTGCCTAATCTGTCAATAGGTTTTTCTTATTCTCAATGATTTTCAGCTCTGGTTGAGCAGGACATGTTTGCTTTCACTGGGTAAATACAGTCTCATTTACTTCTATTGTTGTTTGAGGTTTCTTTCAAAACAGAGGTTTGCATTTTAATGAATTTAGTGATTGGAGTAACTTTATATGATTCAAAATTCAAAAAAATAATTTCTACCGCCTCTTTATTCTAATCCAGTTGTTTTTTTGTTTTTTTTTAATGGCATAGAAAATTAGAGATGATCAACCAGCATTTTTGAACAGACCAGAAAGGAGGAGACAGAGTTTTGGTTGTGATTTCTATTTCATCATTATGGTTTGGATTAAAATACAACCTTTAGCAACATTAACCAGTTGTGGGTAGAGGAAGCTAAATATAAACGTCACGGTTCTGGGTCAGTTTCGACCCAGTATTTTGAGTTTTGATTGTTAGTTTATTTTTGAATAATTGTTGTGGTTTTGGGCGCTATGAGTATTATTATTATAATGATGATTATTATTAGAATTCTATGTTTCTGTTTATTCATGTTAAGGATTTGTTCTCGGTTGTATCTCACGTTTAGTTTAGTTCAGGTTCTATGTGTCATTCTCTGTCTGTCTGTCTCTCAGTGTCAGGTCTGCGTCTTGGTGTAGTGTTCTCGTTTCCTGTTTTATTGTGAAGGTCTGCGTCTCATGTGAGTGTGTTCAGTTTT